ACAGCCGTGGATTGAATTTTAATAAGAAAGAAATCATCTAAAGAATTTTTCCCACTGAAATACTTCCCGCTCCATGTAAACATTCCATGAGGAAAGAGACACTCTCGTCAGCGGCAACGAAACACCTAACCCAGGCTGAGAGAGCAGAAAAGCGACCCTTCATTCCAATGGAGTCTGTTTCTCCAACGCAGGCAGTTACTTTAAATGGCAGCCGATGATGGGTCTGTTCTGACATTTGGTCAATGCCAATCTGCTTCGGGGTGCGTGTGGATAAGTACGGCCTGAAGAGACCGTTTCTCTCACACTGCAACACAGAATCACTCACAACGTTGAAACCAGTTCTTGGGTCCATGTTAATAACTCATCGGCCTCAGAAATTCAAGCCACAGTTAATGCATCTTTTTGTGCTGGAAGCACAGAGTCCACACTCGCCATTCCAAAATCTACGTTTATCTTCCTGTCGGAGTTGCTTCTCTTATCTCCCCCACACCTACCTCCTGCGCACAGGGTAATTTGGTATTACCAGGCTCTCAATGCTGTGTTGGGATCAGCTAGAAGTTAAACCCGTTTCATACAGGACAAGATAAATAGAGCCTCATACTACAGATTGCGTAGTGTAAAGCTAAGCACTACAATATCTCTCCAAGCAATAGATAGTTTTTTTTCACTATCAGGGCGTGCATTGGGATTAGAATGATATGAAGCAAAGCCTTTATGGCTCTTTCAAAGCTGAACCAGTCTGAATCAGCAATATAACTGTTTACTTGTTATAGCATTTAATTAGATACCAATTGAAACCGTCCTGACAACAAGTTGGAAGGCAGAAATGCGTCAATTGTGGTCTTAATACAAAGAGAACTCGAATATATTGGATACAATGCCCTCAAGACTTTCCATCCAGATAATAATAATCTTTGCATTTGATAAGGCCCCTTATGTTGTTGAGACATCTGAAAGCGCTTCACAGAATACACTGTAAAGTGGTTTCTGACTGTTTTGTGGGTGAAATGAGGCAGCACAACTGCGCACAGCAAAAATAATAATTTAATCAAATTCTTAAACCCAGCCTTAATTTTGAAGCTGATTTTCGGTGAGTTTCTGTTAAGGTCTACGGTAAAGGCCGGTTCAAAGTTAAGACTGAATTCAACAATTTGGCCAAATCGTGGGACTCTCTAAAAATGCTATGAAAACTGAGCAAAATATAGACCTGGGAGTAATTTCTTTCCATATACCGTAATAAACCTCTGGTCGCTTTAAAAATTCATTTTAAAAGTAGCCTAAAATTATCTCCACTTCTGATCACTCTCTCTCTTTTAATATACTTTAATTCAGACTAATTAAAATGACTAATAATCACAGACCTCCTCTCTTGCACGAATAATTTCACAGCAATTTTTTGTTCCTCTTTCAGCCGGTGGAATACAACAGTTCCTTATTAATTTCCTGTCCATTTAATGTCACAAATTTTCACCCAAATTAACTAGCAACTTAGCTCATCTGAAGTTAATTTGGAAATTGGCAGACTTTCTTTTATTAATGCTAATCTGATCGGGAACATCTCCTAGCAACTGGTCACACAGTAACTTTATAGAGATCTGAGGCCACAGGACCCAGCCTTTCTTTCTCTAACAAGATATTAGTAGAAGCTACAAGTTAAAGCGTTCACCCAGTCATTACAACTCACAGTAAAAAAAAATCATGAAGCACTTTGGCACTTCAATAACTGATAAGGTGCAATATCAAAAGCAAGGATTAAATTAAATTATCTAAACGCGGAAGCACAGTGAAGTAAAGATGGAAGAAACCTGGAGTGGAAATAATAATAATCCTTGCATTTGATAAAGTGCCTTATCATGTGGTTGAAACCTAGTGAATTGACTGTGTATTTTGTGGGCGAAACGTGGCAGCTGATTGCGCACAGCAGTGTCCCACAAACAGTCGTAGATTGAGTGACCAAATTTTAATTTATTTTTGAAGAGGTTATTACTCCGGGTAAGGGATCCGCCAATCGACTAACAACCAGGTTTAACTTACCACTAAGTAAATAGAGCCGTGTGGAGTAAGGAAACTTGCTAAAGTTTCACCCCACCCGGGAATCGAACCTGGGTCCTCTCACTTGTGAGGTGAGTGCACTGACCTATGCTACGGGACTCCTGTAAGAGAATGATTCTTCACAACAATGCCCTGTGGCAGTGAGTAAAGCAAACCAGATGTTGGGATGTATCAAAAGATCAATAGCAATCCAAAATAGTGGGGTAATCCTGCCACTGTATAAATCATTAGCAAGACCACACTTGGAGACTGTGTACAGTTCTGGTCACCGCAGTACAAAAAGGATATTGGAGAAATCGAGAGGATACAGAGTACGGCAACCAGAATGATTGAGGGAATGGAGGGACTGGGCTACAAGAAGCGACTAAGTAAATTGGGACATGTTCACGCTGGAAAAGAGAAGATTGAGAGGCGACATGATTGCTGTCTTTAAGATTCTAAAGGGGCAAAACAATATAGATCATGACCGGCTGTTTCAACTAGTTCAGAATAGTAGAACCAGAGGACACGGGCTGTAATTGACGGGGGGTAAATTCAGAACAAATCTACGCAAGCACTATTTCAGTGAGCGAATAGTGATTCTGTGGAACAGGCTCCCTAGGGAGACAGTTGAAGCAGGAAGTGTTGATTCTTTCAAACACAGATTAGAAAGTTTTCTTTTAGGAAATAACATTATGGAATATAGTACATAGGGAGTTTGGGACATATGTGTATGCGACCGGCAGGAAGGTGGAAGGCGAACTAGATGGACCTTTGTCTTTTTCCGTCTTTGTGTTTCTTATGTTCTTATGATTCTCATTTGTCAGGAGAAGTGTCTTCCGGGAGATTTGTCTAAAAGTTTAAAGTTTTAAAAGAAAAAAATTAGGAGGTTGGGGGGGCTGATAGATCCAATGAAAGAAAAAGGAAAGAAAATCTTTAGCTAACAGACTCTGTGAATACTTTGACGGACGTCTTTGAGTTACCTCAGTGACGGGGCCACAATTGACACAAACTTTGCCGCGGGATCTTGGTTTAACGTCTCGTCTAAAGGGACTGACATAAACCAGTCAAAGAAAGAAAAATGCGAGAGGAATTAAGAGATCGACAAATTTCCTCCCAGTAATAAATATCAGAACCATCTAAATATTTCAAAATTCTAACATTGTCTTTTTTTTGCTTCGAATCATTGTTCTGTGTTCGCAAATCAAGCTCTGAGAGATTGTAACTGTTCATAGAGACTAGATATCCTTTGTGATTGCGAAACAAATTAAACGGGTGCAGTGTAGGAGATATATGCACATCTGTGAACGAACAGCATCGTTTAATATCTATTCTGAACAGATGCATAACTGGAAAAAAATGAAATGTTTTTTTTCATTCGCTCGACCAATTCCTTACAGTGCATCTCATAAAGAAAACTGCTTTCCGATTAAAGCAAATTGATTTCATCAAGGAATTTGTATTAAAAGTCGGGAGTAAATGTAACGTTATTTTTGGAAAGTTATTTTCTCCTGCCAACTGAACTTCTAATCTTCTTGGATTACATGGCGAAACCTCCAAAACAAAAAACAATAATAAATTGGTCATTTTCAATCCACGACTGTTTGTGGCACACTGCTGTGCGCAATTGGCTGCCAAGTTCATCCACAAATATACGGTCAATTCACTTTACAGTACATTCTATGAAGCGCTTTGGGACGTCGAGAAGATGTGAAAAGCGCTATATCAAATGCAAGGATTATTATTATTATTATTATGTAGTTTAGTGGCTATATTACTCGCCTCGCAAACGAGAGGACCTGGGTTTGATTCCCGGGCAAGGCAAAATGTTGAGCATGTTTCTTTACTCCACACCCCCCTGTTTAACTCGCAGTAAATAGGAACCCGGTTGTTAGTCAATTGGTGGATCGCTTTTCCCTCCAAAAAATAAATTTAAAAAAGTAGGACAGTATATTTGTGAAGAAATTTGAGAAAAATTTCCTTGAAAAAAAATAATTTGCTCACTCAATCCACGACTGTTTGTGGGACACTGCTGTACACAATTGGCTGCAGTGTTTTTCCGACAAAACATAGTCAATTCACTTTACAGTTATTCTGCGAAGTGCTTTGAGACGTCTAGAAGATGTTTGGTGTTATATCAAATACAACGATTATTATTGTAATACTGGCTCCACGTTAATACACAGGCTCCTGTGTTTTGCTGTGCTCATGTGCCTGTTGTATGCTTGTAAGTGCCCAACCGTGTAATCTCCCAAGTAACATGTAAGAAAGGCTTGTGAGTACTTTAATGCTCAAAAGATCTTTAAATGCAGCATGTGAGCAACTCGAAATGGCACTGAATATTTTCCAACTTACAGCGTATTTCATCTACAAATAGAGCAGACATTGCACTCAACAGCACAAACTTGTGAAGCGATTTGCGATGTCTCAACAACCCAATAAGGCGCTATTTCAAATGCAAGAATTATTCCTGTTATTCGAATAACATGTAAGGTGCAGCTTACTTACATTTCTTTACTCTCTGCTGTACAAGATTGTTCTGGGGTGTGTTTTATTTTTCATCAAACAACAGGACTTTTTTTTATTTTAAATCAATTGAATTTGCTTCTGAAACATTTGAGGGGAGAAATTTCACCCAGGTTCCGAATCATTCTATTTCTGAATTGTTTTGAAGAGCTTGGAATCTGTCACTTGTCTTAAATAGATTTTAAAACCGGTTTCTTGCAAATTCTTTCGAGAACTGGTAAGGGAATTGACTTCAAAGTTAAAACTGAAATGCGACAACTCACACAGAATCCTGGACCCCCTAAAATGCTACACAAATAGAGTAACTTGAGACCTGATAAATGGAATTTCTCACCCATTATCTTTTTTTTATATTGAAAAAAAACTCAATTTTCCAAAAGGTAGAAATAAATTACGCTTTCACATAAATCACCCTATAAATAAAACATTTCAATAAAACTCACCTCCATTCCCAGCGCCGTCCACCGCTGAACATTACAGTAAATCGTGTGACGATGTCTCAAAGCGCACACTTCTGTAGTTTATACATTCAGATGTAAATTTATTGCTCGCCTCCTGATAAGATATTCATCTCTCCTGCTTCTTCCACTTTCTAGCGAGGCCAGGTATAAATTTTTTGTTCACCTGTAGAATCGTGTGACAACTCGATGAAACAACTCAAAAACCAAATAATAATATTTTGGTCACTCAATCCACGACTGTTTGTGGGACGCTGCTGTGCGCAATTGGCTGCCGCATTTCGTTTCGCCCACAAAATATACAGTCAATTCACTTTATAGTATATCCTGTGAAGCTCTTTGAGATGTCTCGAAGACGCGATAAAGCGCTGTTTCAAATGCAGGGATTATTATTAACTCAAACCGGGTGTAACGATCGCATTAACACTCACCCACCATCGGGTCTTCCTTTTGCTTCTGATTTTGCAGGAACTTCAGAGGAATAAACATCTGTTAATTGCCCTTTTTATCGAAGCGGGTTTCCCCAGCCTGTACACCAAAGCAACTGGTCACTGAGTGACTTTATAGAGGTCTGAGGTCACAGTACCCAGCCTTTCTCCCTTTAACAAGATACGAGTAGAAGCTACAAGTGAAGGTGTTCGCCTAGAGAAAACACAGTCATTACAACTTACCAGTAAAATAAAGCAAATAGCAAATTACTCACTCCATTTAATGCACCTGAAATTCCCTGTGTGTAACCGTAGCCTGTCTGGACACATTGCCGGCAGAGTCTGCTCACTGTTGGTTTCCCAGGTTTTTCACACCTCTCGTACCTTCCGCCTGACTTGCTGTCCACAGTTTGCTGTACGCCAGGGAATGCCCTTTGGACTCTCTTTAATTGCTTTAATTTAAATTTTGCCTTTCTGCTGTCTTTGCCAGTTGACAAACTCTTGTTCCTTAGCAACTTGCCAGACTGTTATTCCGGGTTGGAAGAAATTCTTGCTTCATTAACCAGGAAATGGCATGACTACAGAAGCTTGGATGTGAACGCAATTCCCATGTATAAGATCTCGATTAGATGTGATTCGTGAAATAATTCAGCCCTCAGCTGCATTCTCCATTTCACCCCCGTGTCCGCAGAGCGAAGAGAAACACAAAAATATATAAACGTCGCAGCTCAGCAAAACAGTGACAACGCCTAAAATAGCAGACGTAGGTTTCCTCTTCGTGGTTCTGATATAGGAACGCAAGAAACAGGAACAGGAGGAGGCCATTCAGCCCATCCAGCCTGTTCCACCAGTTTATTAGGTGACTCCTGCGTTAATAATAATAATCCTTGCATTTGACATAGCGCCTTAATCACATCGTTGAGACGTCTCAAAGCGCTTCACAGAATATACCGTTAAGTGGAGTAACTGTGTATTTTGGTGGCAAAACTTGGCAGCCAATTATAATAATAATAATCCTTGCATTTCATGTAGCGCTTTTCACGTCGGGAGGACGTCCCAAAGCGCTTCACAGATCACACTGTAAAGTGAATTGACTGTATATTTGCACACAGCAGTGTGCAACAAACAGTCGTGGTTTGATTGACCACATTTTTCTTTAAACAGAGGCATGTGGAGTAAGGAAACTTGCCTGAGGTTTCACCCTCCTGGGAATCGAACCCAGGACCTCTCACTTGCAAGGCGAGCGCGCTAGCCACGAGGCTATGGGACTCCACAATATGGAGCGATATTCAGTTAAAATCGGTCCCTTGAATACCCTGGGAGCATCAACCAAGTTGTGCGAGAATCAAATCTTTCGTCTCCTCGGGGAGGGATGGGATGCGAGCTCCAGTACACAAAACCTCGAAGTCACCATAAAAATGCTAATTCTTTACCCTCTTTTCCTTCCTCCTCCTGTTTCGCTGAAGATTGAAACAATAAAAAAAAATGAATCTGAAACTAACAATGAGGTGTTCTGTGAAGTAATTACAACCAGCGCCATTAATCACAGCTTCCTAAACAGCTCTGCTCTATGTTGAATGCTCGGAATTGAACCCAAAAAAATCTTTTAACCAGTTGCTGAGATTTTATCAACTGAGCTAAAATAAACCACTGCTTGTTCCTACCTCTTTTGTTTAGCTGATTTGACAATAAAATAAGATATATTATAAAATAATATATAGCGCCCTTCACGTGGGGTAGCATCCCGGAGCGAGGTAACCGGTATTTTTATACTCGTAAATACAAGGACCTCGGTTTAATTGCCTCATCCAAAGGACGACACCTTAATCAACGCACCACACTCTCCCCGGGGCCCTACTGGAGGTTCAGCCCAAACTGTATTAACTCACATTTGATATCTTTACAATCTGAAATCGCAACAAAGCAGAAAATTCCATTTGTTGGCTAAACACTTGTGTTTCTTCTGAATCACCCAGAGTAGAAAACATTAATATTCAGCATTGACATTGCACCAGCCTCTGTCAAAGATACAATATATGGCATACATTTTCAAGATGTATCCAAAAACCACTGAGCTCACACTTTCCTGTGGGTTGGCTGCTGGATCCATTCAAACTTTCAAGACTGAGATGGATAAATGTTTGTTAGGTCAGGATATCAAGGGGTATGGAGCAAAGGCGGATGAAGGATGCTGTATAAGTGCAAGTTGTTGTTGGTGCTGTTCCTCATCTGCAATGTTTACCAATCTTCTCATGTTCCTTTAGCAGCATTACAATTTTTTAATCGAGCTTTAACTGCTCTGGAGCAGACATTTTCACCAGTAGTGAGCGTCCCGGCCTAAAAGCAATACTGAAATAAAATGTCATGGGGCAAGGCGGGTAATTGGAGTTGAGGTACAGATCAGCCATGACATTACAGAATGGCGGAACAGGCTCGAGGGGCTGAATGGCCTCCTCCTGTTCCTATGTTCCTACTTTGTTCCCGCAGAAATGTAGGATACAGTGTGATACGCAAACGTGCGGAATCAAATTGAACTTCCGACTCTCTGTTGAAATCTCTCTTGCAAATCAGAGAACAAATGTGTGTGTGCATAGCACTCGGAACAGCACCTGCTAGGGGAGCAGAGCTTTAACGTGACAACTTGAAAATGAAGTGGAAATATTACTGCACGGAAACTTCCAAGTTTTACCAAAATCTGCACCTCCCAAATTAGACCAGGCAGAAACTGTGAAACACATGTCAAGTGCCACTTCTTGCAGCCTGTCACAAGGTGGCGTGAGATTTTGGACGTTGGCTGTGATCAGCGCTCCAAGACTCTGGCCTCTCTTCCTTTGGCTTATTTGGGACTTCGAGATCAGTACGACAACAGTTTGCAACCATCTAAACCTGGAAGAAGGATATCCAAACTGGAATCGGATTCTACATTAAGGTTGGATTTAAGAACTTTCCATTAGTCTATGGCCCAGGTGGAATTTCTGGCTTCATAGGCTTTGGTCCCCAATGTTGGGTGTCCTCAGCCAACACTGGGAATTGACTGGGAAATATAATAATAATGATAATAATCCTTACATTTGATATAGCGCCTTATCACATCACTGAGACATTTCAAGGCATTTCACAGAACATACTGTAAGTGAATTGGCTGTATAATTTGTGGGCAAAACGAGGCAGCCAATTGCACACAGCAGTGTCCCACAAACAATCATGGATTGAGTGACCAAATTATTATTGGCTTTTTTTGAGAAATTATTACCCCGGAAAGTATTCCGCCAATCAACTAACAACCAGGTTCCTGCAAACCACTAGGTAAACAGAGGTGAGTGGAGTAAGCAAACTTGCCTACGGTTTCGCCCCGCTCAGGAATTAAACCTGGGTCCTTTCACTTGCGAGGCGAGTGCTCTAGTCAATACACGACAGGGTAGCTTAAAGACTACTAAAGTCTTTCCTCCTCTCACATAAGAACAGCTAGACAAAAAAAAAACAAGGTCCATCGAGTTCACCTTCCACCTCGGTTTTGAAACCCCCTCAAACAACCACCACTTTGGCTGAGCCCTTCGATGAGATGTCAGACACCCAGTTACAAAGATTAATTCCAACTGTCACACCACAACTGGTAAAGGACAAACGGGACAATGGTGAATCGGAAACAAAGGAGAACGGTTGGATTTTTAATAAGAAATGGATCTTCACTGTAGGCAGCTCGGAGAATGTCACTTTTTAAATTAGTTTTTACTCTATTTATTGCAAAACGGAGCAAAAAGAAAAATATCTTTCCTTGTAGATATTGTGGATCTTCTAAATATGTCTTTGGGCCAAAATGTGATGGAAACATATGTGGGCTTATTTAAATATATCTTTTTGTTCAATTTTTTTCAAACACAGCCACGGAACAGTAAATACTTCATTAGGGAAAATGTTCACCCAAAAAATATATACGAGGTCCATTTATTAAAACACTACATCATCGTCAGTCCTTGAGGAGATGTGCAGGTACGAGAGATCGGTTACTGCTCAGATATTCCATTATTTCCAGTTTCATTAACAACAACTTAAGGAAAAAAATTAATCTCATGTGATATCCCTTGTTGTTGAGTTAACAGCTAACCAGTGAGTGATGATCTAATGACCCAATAAAGTGTGCTTTACACTTTGAAACATTTGCAAATTCCACGTCATTTTTATAGAGAGTTGGATAATTCACAGCTGCAGATCTCTCTGCCTTTTGTCTCCCTGACAGCAAAATAAATAGTGTTGCTTCTCAATTTGCCAGTAATTAAATTACTTCTCTCTGAATGTGGAATAAGCAGAGGAATTATGATTTATTTTTCTGAATTGTCGTGCTTTGTTTGGGGTGGGGGGGGGGGGAGAGAAAAGAAACAGGCAACACCACAAATGTAAATGAGATTGAGAGAGTGATAAGATGGTCGCAAGTAAGAACAGTGACAGCAGTGACAACCAAATCCTTGGGTTATTGGTGATTCTCCTATCAGTAAATAAGATTGGCTGATCGCTAACCAGGGGTATAAGCCTTGAAAAAATGTTTTAAAAAAATAATAGTTATAATTTGGTCCATCAATCCACGGCTGTTTGTGGAACGCCGCTGTGCCCATTTGGCTGCCACGTTTCGTCCATAAAATATACAGTCGATTCACTTTACAGTATATTCTGTGAAGCGCTTAGAGACATCTCAAAGACGTGATAAAGTGCTAAATCAAATGCAAGGATTTTGATTATATTGTTATTCTCCTGATTGCTGGATTCCAGTTAAAATTATTAATAATCTCATCTCCGTAAAGCTCTTTAGGATTGAGTGGCCAACCCTCACACCGAAGGCTCCCACATGAACAGTGTCAGAGCGCTGAGATCAACCTAAAGCTCAGCAAACCCTTATTAACAGCATATTGCACCTTCTGACAAACAGAGAGTGGATATCTCTCAGGGACTGTTCGCTAACACTCAAAGCTCCACAGAAGTGTTCCCTCGCTGCTTCGGCAGATTCTTATGGAAAATCCCTGTGGATTTCCGCTGACTGATTGTCACGAGGGGAGTCAGAACTGTTCACTCAGATTAATGTGTTTAGCGTTATCGATCGGATTTATGATTTCAGAAATAAAACAAATGACCCGACTCCAATATCCTGACAGGTCTGTTCAGACGTAAATTACAGCAGAAGGTTTCCCAGATATGACCACAGACTGAACACCAGACGCAGCCTGGAATACACTTACACAATAACAG